AGGTGTTTGTACTAACATGTCACAGTCAAATGGTGAGGATGTTGATGAATGAATAAACAACTCCTAAGATTTTCTCACCTACCTATGGTATACACATTATTATTATGATTCATTTTTATATAGTGGCCCTAATTATCCTGTTATGGTACAGTACATTATTATGCTCTACACAGTTCATAGTTTTCCACAGTGAACAATACATATACTGTATAGTCTAAAGGTCAATTTGGTTCAGTTCTGTATTAATAATGAATGACATATTTATATTATAAAATCAAATTTTGCTTTATGTCCTTTTATAACATTTTCAAACAACCCAGAAAAATACAATGTTACTCACATCATAATTAATTACCAATTTCTAATTGGAATATGATATATTCTTATGACAGCAATTTTGGAATAATGCAAAGTTGGCAGTGTTTTCATACTTGGATTTAATTATACTGTACTGTACTTTCATATGTTATTTCAGACATATTTCTGAGTTCATTACTATTGCAATTTGTTGGGGGTTGACCCTCGTTTTTCCCAAATTTCCCAAGAAGATATATAGGCTATTACACTCTGATATTACAATTAATTAATTTAGTTTTTAAAATTTAATTTACTGGTAAACATGAAAGTCCATCATTTTTTTAGTGAAAGATAATTTTAAGGTCATAGGTAGTAGCCAGCTATCAAACAGGGAGATAATACCACCTGCAAAGATATTGGAAGCATATTGTGTTGTCTAATGGTAGACCCTGCTGCCATATGGCATACAGCAACACCGCCTGGCTTTCCTGGGCCCCCGACAACCTAAATTTTACTTTTGTCCACATTCACTGCCAGGCCTTCACCAATCTTGGGAATACCAACAGATAACTCAAAATATAGTCCTGTGGAGTTTTAATGCTCAAAAGTTGGTTAAAATGATGAACATGACACCTTCAAATACAATACTGTGATTGTTTCTGAACTTTCAGCTATAAAAAACACTAGTTTCCAAAGGTTAGGGTTGAACTACATTTATTCCTATAATAATACAACGATGTACATTCAGGATTTAATATAGAAAATATATCACAAAAATTGCTGTATACCTATAATAAAAATGAAGCATCCATAAATATACTGTATATATAGAAATTAAATATAGAAATCTGAAAATAAAATAACTTCAATATACAAAAAACACAAATATTACTATATATATATATATATATATATATATATATATATATATATATATATATATATATATATATATATATATATATATATATATATATATATATATATATATACATATATATATATACGCGTAAATATAACATATATTATTATATATATATATATATATATACGACCCCCAAACTCACTTTGAACCCACGGCGGCCCGCGTAAAGTGAACAACATAACATATGGGATTAATTGAAATAGAGACTGGGCCGACCCCCAAACTCCACTTTTTACCGACACAATACATACGTTTTAGTAAAAATAAAATCTTAACTTTATGATGGTATGCACACATACATAATATAGATGGGAACAATCAATAAGAGAATAATATACTGTACGTTAGGTTAGAAAAAAACAAGGTTAGGGTTAACACTTACGTTAGTAGAAGAGATGGGTCGGCGTATGGGAATGGAGGCTGGTTCCGAGACAGAGGGCAGGCTACTGGCCCTCAGGTGAGTCTTCATCACTGTCATCCACACTTATTAGTGCCTCCCTGACAAATCCCTCAAAGTCACCATCACTGTCTCTGTCTCTGTCACTATCACTGGCTTGGGCTTGATCATAGAAGCACCCGTAGACTTTGTGATGTTCATGTGCTCCTTTATCTTGGCTGCATCCTTCTTAATTGTCCGGATCGTAGATTCGTTAATACCATGCTGGCGCGCGAGATCAACCTGTCTTGTTCCTTTCTCCAACTCTTGGATGATCTTGTATTTAATTTCGTAGCTTAGGGAACGTCGTATCTTCTTTGGCTTAGGGCAGCTGGGTCCAGGTAATGCAAGGTTTCTTTGTGGTGGTGGTGGTGGTGGTGGTGGTGGTGGTGGTCCGGTGGAAGCCATTCTTATGGAACAATGGATACCGATATACACGGTGTAGCCGGGAGGGATGTAACTGACGCGGGTAGGTCAAGGGGCTTGAACGCTCACGCGGCGGGGCACATCATAATACATTAAACCAATCAGAGCTAGCGGGGGAGGGAGGTAAGGATGCTTGGCCCAATCACAATCCAATACGTCATATGAAGTCACCGATAACGCAACAAAGACATACACTGCGCAACCTACTTGCGCCGCTTACCCAACATGGCGGGATGGCGGGAGGTTTGAATCCAAAAATGGCGCGGCGCGAGAGGACCGCCAGCCGCTCTCCGCGTAAAAGGGTACACGCACCGCGTAATGTGAGCATTCCGTGTTCGGCAGGGTACCGCTTAAACGTGGAAATGCGTAAAGTGAAACCGCGTAAAGCGGGGTTTTACTGTACAGTATATATATCATCCTGACATAAGGGTAACACTCACTAAACTCAACATGCACTCTCCTACACCACACAACTAAACTGTATTAATATAATTAAAGCAATACCAAACATAAAAGCACGTACGTGTCATGTGAACAGCACTGAGGTGAACTACTGAGGCTCGGAGTAACGGCCAAGCAACCTACCGCTGTCTGCTGTCCGTCCGAATGAGTCGTATGTCTGGCATTTCACACATCATTTAAAACTGCTACACCGGGCCTGTTTAATTATTATAATCCGGCACAAAGAAACTGCATTAATAGAGACCGAATGCGAAAAAGACCTGAGTGTGTATGTTGACAATGAACTGTAGTTCTCGGGCCATTTTCTACAGATACAGAAAAAGTGATTTTTCCTGGTTGATGCTTCCAATGCAATCAACATACTCAACTGCAAAGCTACACTGCACAACATCAAGATCAAGTGTCTAAGCTTTGCAATGTACAGGTATGTGGAAAACACCTATAGGAACCCATCATACCTCTACATAACAAACATCAAGGCTTTAAGAGGAGATACCATCATACAGTCAACTGAGGGAACAATGCAGGGGACCCCGTTGCAATGGCAATGTACGAGATATGCCTATCCGTGCTTCAACACACAATAAAATTTGAAACAAACGTAGTCAAGCAAGTGGCGTATGCCGACGACCTTACAGGAGCAGGAAAAGTGGAGGACATAAAAAAGTGGTGTGACCTGATAACATCATATGGTCCACAAATAGGGTACCACCCAAATGCCAGCAAGTCCTTCCTCATTGTCAAGCCAGAACACTATGAACGGGCAGTGGAGGTGTTCGGTGGAAGTGAGGTCAAAATAACAAAGGATGGCCAAAGACACCTACAGGTAGGTGCAATCGGCACGAAGGACTTCAAGACCGAGTACGTCACGGGAAAGGTAAATCCAAGCTCTGTCAGATATTGCTAAAACAGAGCCACATGCGGCTTTTGTGGCATTCACCCATGGAGTGAAGCATCGATGGAACTACCTGATGGCACTATCCCTGATATAGGACCCCTCCTCCACCCTCTGGAAGAAGCCATCAGCATCCATTTCATTCCAAAATTAGTGAAACACCTTCAATTAATCCCAGCAGAAAGGCCACTCCTTGCACTCCCACCGAGACTGGGAGGAATGGGATTGACCAATCCAGAGAAGATTGCTGCCACCGAATATCAAAACTCAGTCAAGCTCACGGCAGCCCTCACCGACCACATACGAGATCAGAAAGCAACAGGTGAGGTGGATGCCAGCGAAGTAAACAAGATTCGACAGTCCATTACGACAGCACGGCCAATGTGATAAGTTGCAGCAACTGATGCTGCAAGTGCCAGAAAATTTGAAAAAAAAAGTAGCTATAGCGCAGGAAGTGGGCGCCTCGAACTGGCTAACTACGTTACCGATAAGGGCAAAAGGTTTCAGTCTTTACAAACAAGAATTTACAGATGCCACTGCTCTAAGGTACGGTGGGCCAGTAGAAGGTTTGCCCTCCCAATGCGTGTGTGACTCTTCCTACGACGTCGACCACGCCATGGTGTGCAAGAAAGGGGCTTCATATGCATGAGGCACGACGAAGTAAGGGATCTCACTGCAAATACGTTTAAGGAAATCTGTCATGATGTCAGAGCAGAACCGACCCTCCTTCCATTGGACAGTGAGAATTTTCAACAATGGACTTCAAACGCAACCAATGAAGCCTGTGTGGATGGACGTCAGTGCTCGAGGATTCTGGACGCAGGGACAGCGAGCCTTTTTTGAAATAAGGATTTTTGGTCCCATGGCCGCATGTCGCCGCAACCTAGCTCTCGATGCTGCGCACAGGAGGAATGAGAACGACAAGATTAGGGTATATGGGGAGAGAATTCAGAACGTTGATGAAGGCAGCTTCACTCCTCTGGTGTTCACAATCTCTGGTGGGATGGGACCAAGTGCAAGATGCTTCTATGCCAGACTCACGGAGGTGCTATTCGAACAGAAGCAGCAGCCCAGAAGTTATGTTACAGCCTGGTTGAGATGTCGACTGTTCTTCTCTCTCCTTAGGTCTGCTTTGCTTTGCCTCAGGGGAACGAAAGCATCGGCCCCAAAGCCTACAACAGCAGCAGATATTGACTACGAGGCAACAGTCACTGAATGCCGCATAGATCTGCGGCTCAACTAACTCAACACAGCCAGGGTAGCTACTAATATATTAGGATAGTTAATTTTAAGGTTATAAAATGGCGGCGAAGGTGTGGCTATAGGGGGAGGCTGGAGGCCATTTAAAAAAAAGTAATAGTATTGCGTGTATGCGTGTGTGTAAATTACAGTCAAGAGTTCCGTCACACACTCGTTCTAAGGTGTAACAAGTCCGAAGTATCTGCTACTACAGATTAAGCCGGCTTGAGCAGTCCCAGGAGTGGAACGGGACTTTTCTCCTTGGAAAAACAAAACAGATGAGGAGCAGGTTGGAGATACAAGACTGTAAGAGGCCTCACCTGCACCTCCTCAGTAGTTCGCTGTATGAGCACGTAGAGGGACCACACGACACAGGTGATGGCGATCACGTGGAAGGTCACCGAGCACGCGATCTTCCGTCTCTCCATCCCTGACATGTCCAACTTCTCCCACTGCAATCATATAAAATAAAATTGCTTTTGCAGTTTATTTTTCTAATAATGTAAGTTAAAAAAAGACGTTTGTGTAGATTACTAAATTGCCTGTATGGACATGTAGTGTGAGTACATTATCTTCTGAGAAAATACAAGATGTAGGATTGTAATAAAAAAGATAAATTTCATATAAAAATGGTAAAAGCAAAGTCGCTTTGAAAAAATGGTGTTATCCGTATTTGTTTGGTACTGAAAGTGGTCATCTTAATTAAGACTAATAAAATCATGACAAGAGGTGTCAGGCCCTGATGAATCAACCTGAAAAAACGAAAATAAAATAAAAATAAATTAGTTTTTCTGTTCTTTTGTTTCAACAAAGTATCTTGGCCGAGGGACCACCTGAAAGGATCAGAGTTCTCTCGAAACTCCTGACGCAGATACCAGCGTACTGTGTGAGTCATCAGACTGAAGTGTGACGGACAATCAAGGTTGGATTTGCTGTTTTTGAACTTGGCGTTGATTCAAATCCAAGATACTTTGGTTTATTAGAGAGATTAAACTCTAATTCTGATGTCCGGAAGGAGTTAGGGTTTGGATCAGGTCACATATAAACCTTTAGGGGGGGAAGTGGTGGTGTGCCCGCTACCTGCAGTACATCAAGTAGAGGCACCATGACTGGAGGCACAGGGAACCGGTTTCTGCTATTGAGGGAATGTGATCCTCTTGTAGAAGGAAGGAAGAATCTAAGTGTGGATAATACTCTGGCAGGTCGTTGGCTGCTCGTGAGTAAAGAACAGACAAGGGACATGAACAGCGAGATCTTTTGTTAGAGTCAGTGCTCTCCCCCACCGTCACCCCTCCAGCGTTCTGGAAGTATCTTCATACTGCTAGTTGTCTTCCCCGTAAAGCCGCTTACACAGTTTACCAACAAGTTAGAACAGGCTTTGAAAAGTGAATGAGCTATAGTCGTCACAGTAAACGTTAAGCTCGGTTTTAACTAATGCTTACGAAAAATTTGAGTTAAGACAAGAAGAGAAAGAGAGAGACGACGTTCTTGCACATAGATTCTTACACCCCTGACATTCTTTGTTCATGTAAACTTTATTCAGAGTGTTCAGTTTGTCTTTAACCCAATATATTTTATTTTAAAAAGTAGGAAACATAAAAATGAAGTCCTAGTATCTAGTTGAGCGTCCGGATGATTTTTTTTTTTTTTGGGGGGGGGCTATCTACCCGCGTCATTGTAATCGTGTTTTAGAACTCAAATGCACTTGTAATGGACGTCTCCCCTACAACTGCATAGCTGCAGGCCACCTGCGACGTCTGCCCAAGCAACCAAACTAGCGGGCCAGGCGGCGCCGTCACCAGATGCCGCAGTATCTTAGCAACCGAGCAAAAGACCGGTTACTTCTCGGGTTTTCCCAACATGACTCATAGATGACTCACGGCTGCTGGGTATATAAGCTCTGTCTCTCCATTGAGATTCATTCTGGCCTCTCTACTTGAACACACAACACCTCCTCCTCCGCCGCTGCCTGGCGGCCCTCGCTTCTCCTCCGCCTGCCTGGCGGTCCTCGCTCCCGCCAGCGATCATGGCGACCCACCAGCTGTCCTTCTCTGAGCGTCCTCACCAACCAGCTCTCATTCTGCCATCGCCTCCTGAACACGCAACACCTCCCAGCAAGCTCCTCGCTGTCCAGCTTTCATTCAACCAGGAGGCCAGCAACAGGCAACATCTTCTCTAACGAAGCTCCTGCACATCTACCTCCCTCAACACGCTACTCACCGAACGTCTCTACTGAGCAGCTCCTCACCACACGGCACCTCCAGCACCAGACTGTCTACCATATAACTTATATTATATAAGAAAACCACCTTAGAGTTTCCATCCATCCTGAGTGCTAGACAACATTATACCACGAAACCCTACACACTATTTTGAATAAGCTTTCAGTGTATTTCCAATTAATATTATGTATGTTCAGTATGATTTTCATTACTTTGACACTGTCGAGTATGCTGACGCATGTTCACCGTCGTGTTTTAACTTAGCTTAATACATCGATTAAAGTCATTTTCAGTGGGCTTTCCTCGCTGCCGTCTGCATAGCCATGAAAGTGTTGACCCATAAAAGTAAACAAATGAATAATAATCTATACCAGCACATCTACAAATGATCTTACGCCCGTTGAACCCCTCATTTCTCCCTCACGTGTACATAAACTGTGAATCTTGAAGGAAACACATTTGTCAACCACCTCATCACCTCTACCTCCGGCCAGCACCAGCCGAGTAGTGAGGATTGATACACGAGGCCTAGATGACGTGTCCGCGTAAACAAACCTAAACAACCACAAGAACACAGCGATGTACCGAATTTTGACCAATTTATCTACACCATTTTAGGCACTTATTATGTAGTCGAATTTTCCCCACATTTAATTTAGAGCAGTAGGTTCGTTTTATCTATTCTGTATATTAAAAAAAAAAACTAAATTTCTCCCTCCTCACTGGATTTTTTCACCTCCTTTTGAACCGGATTTAATTTATTTTACGATGTCCTCGACAACTTGTCCTTCCAAAATGTTTCATCTAAAGTAGGTAACTTGTTCTAAAGAAATTTTATGAAAGCACATGCATATAAACCCAACCGATCTTGATAATCCACATTGTCTACAAATATCTAGGAAGAAAAACGTGGAAATGTGCTAATTCTCTTGTGAATGTGAGAGGATATGTCTAAACCAAATGTTCCAACCTTGAGAGTTTGAATGTGAACTTTTCTTTATCATCTTTACAATAACACACTGACTTTGAATGTCTCCTCGTTCGTACCAAGGACGTTAGAACCCTCCTGTGTTCAGTGTTTCATGTACGGATTAAATTAAACATGATTGCGGATCCCCGTAGACTTTATCACGGAACCTGGAAGACTCTTCTGATCCCAATGAACAAAACCATATTAGGGAAATAGTGATTAAGATAATATACGTAATGGAAAGTTAAGTTTATTGGTAAGTCTAAAAAGTCGAGAGAGAGAGAGAGAAATCCACCACAAGACAAGTGTAGTGTTGACCAAATCACCTCCACTGAGACTCTGGCTTGATAGTGATTTATGATCTGACGAATCAAGTGAGAGGCTGTGGGGGGAGACGTCGTTGTCGTGGTGACGGTGGTTGTGGTGACGGTGGTTGTGGTGACGGTGGTGGTGACGGTGGTGATTTTGGTAATAGTGGTAGTGGTAATGGAGGTGGTGGCAGTGGTAGGAAGGGTTGTGTCACAGTTAGTGTCGAGGGAGATTGAAGATCGATAACATATTGAGGTCGAGTAAGGGTGATGGTAGTGGAAAGAGAGAGAGAGAGGGTCACCGCCCTACCATTAAAGCCACATCGCCAATACGAGCAATCAACAAGAGTCTGGCGTCACCTCTACCATCTCCTTAAATGGGTTTTACTTTTAAATGTTGCACCAGACGATTCGTCCGCCCGTCTTCTGCCTGTGGTGGCGTTTTCTCCGTTTTTTCTCCATAGTATATATATATTATATATATATATATATATATATATATATATATATATATATATATATATATATATATATATATATATATAATTAGGTTTTTCACTGGTGAATTCTCTCTGATGGGGACGAGAACTGGCACGAGGAGAAGAGGGGTCATCATCACGCACTGATAGCCCTTTAAGACTTACGTTAGGTTAGGTTAGTGTTAGGAATAGTTAGATTAGGATAAATTTGTTTAGGTTAGGTTAGCGTGAATTTAGGTTAGGTTTGCATTAAGGTTAGAGTTTGGGTACATTAGGTTACGTTAAGTTAGGTTAGGTAAGTGAGCGTTAGAGAGTTAGTGTTTAATTTCACCTGCAGTATATAATCTGGGGTGTCTATTTTTCGGGTGATGAGGTTAATTAATTTTGGGTATTAGAGGAAGGCTGTGGCTTAATTGGATCCTGCCCGTGGTGAAGGTTTGTTTATTTTACCCCCGCGGACAGCCTCGCTTTATCTTCACGGCTAAAATGAAAATACCGCGGCCTGCTAGACAAGACAATTAGTGGAGGCAGTGTTGGGGGGGGGGTGGATGTTTTACTGAGCTCGGATCCTCTATTACATGAATTCGATCCTCTTTTGTATCTCCATGATCCTCTTTTCACTATAATGTTGATGTTCTATTTTTCCCACATCTTCGATCCTCCCTTGTCTTACTGTGATCCTCCATTGTTTGAGTTCAATCCTCTATTGTCTAACGTTGATCCCCTCTCTTGCATAATTTGTAGCCTCTTTTGTATAATTTGAATAACTTGGTTCGTTTTTTGTGGAACTTCGAACTTCTTTTGTTTAATAAACACATTAACTAGTCCTCGTCTCCCTCCGCCTAATGGCGTACCACTTATTTAAAAGGGATTATTTCTTTGGGGTCAAACTATTAATCCATTTTGAAGTTTCCGAAAAACAAAATGTATAATATTCTCAGGAGGTTTAGAATATTGGTGTAAACAGTTTAAAAAGCAATCCATCCACCCGGACAGAGAGAGAGAGAGAGAGAGAGAGAGAGAGAGTAAATATATCTTCCTATACTCGCATGGCTGCAGTAGTACGTGTTTAGAAGGCGTCATTATATTGTGCGGTAACAAGAAGTGATTTGCCAAATTACCACAGCAGACGGTCGGTCAATGGTCCAGTGTTATTACTGTGGCTGTCGTAAAGGGCGTGTGTTGGCGGGCCTCCACACACACACACACACACACACACACACACACACACACACACACACACACACACGTTAAGAACGGCGTGTGTTTGTGGATATTAAGACACATATCCACACATGCCATAGTTGGGAGAAAGATGTGCGGAGGGGAGACAAATGCACGACTCCACACACGTCCTGTTTGAGAGGGGCGCGTGTTGAGGACAGAGAGATGTGCTTCCACACACGCCTCGTGCTCTGAATATCAATGAAGGACATGTGGCTGCAGTGTGTGTGTGTGTGTCATCTTACCTCACGCTCCAATGCAATGATGGCAGCCAAATTGCACCGAGACTGTACCGAAACAGGACACGTTCTCTTATCCAAAGGAAGATAAAGTTAACGTGAAGGTTATCAAGAGTCTGACCCCTACCCCCCCTTCCCCTGCTTCCCGACCATCCTTATCCTGGACTTCCTTCCTCCCGTTCATATATTGTATCCCTCTCCATTCAACTTTCTCCTCTCTCTCCCTACCTACCTACCTACCTGCTTGTCTATCCCTTCTTACCTCCCTTCCTCTCTCTTCCCTACCTTCGTTCCTCCTCTTCTTCTTCCCTTTCTCTCTCCATCCACCTGTTCCTCCCCCCCTTCCTCACTCCCCCTTCCTCTCCTTCCTCCCCCTACCTCTTCCTCTCCCGTGCTTCCCTTCCCTCCCTGCCTTCACCCTGCCCCCCTTCCTCTCCTCCACCAAGACTAGTGCTGTCGTCCAATCCTCAGCACGGACAATACTGCTCTGGTCTCGTTCCGTCTTCCAGTTGTTTTTGCCTGTGTTATCGTGCGCTACGGGGAGAACCTTGAAGCCTAGAGTGTTTATTACGTGGCTAGAGTATCTTCCTGAAGGGTGTCTGCAGCGTCAGGAGTATATGATGTTCCTTAAGGGTCACTCATCAACATAATTACCTCACACACCCGGGGCAGGATGTTGAATGTGGACGATTATCTTCTTCTGAGGTAATGTGGGTAGTGTGATTTTGCTGTTGTTTACTGTTTTTGTTTCTCTGTGTCTTTGTTTTTCCAGCTATGTGTGTGTGTGTGTGTGTGTGTGTGTGTGTGTGTGTGTGTGTGTGTGCTTTCTCTCATTCAGTGTTTGATATTAGTGTCGGATCACCAAGATTTGCTCTCCTCATCTTATTCCACCTGATGAATAAACACCTTAATGTTACCTTGGAGGGTTAGGTTAGGTTAGGTTAGGTTAGGTTAGGTTAGGTTAGGTTAGGTTAGGTTAGGTTAGCATTAGTATGTTTAATCATCAGGTGAAATAAGCTGAGGGGAGCAAATCTTGAGGTGATCCCAAATGTCGTGTCAGCGTGTTTACAAGTGAAGAATGTTTGCATGACTGAAGTGGGTTATAAACGTTACTACTGTATAGAAAGTAACAATAGGTCAGTAGTCCTTGTTGTACATGAATGGTCAAGACCTAACTAGTCTAAGGGCATGAACTTGTAGATATAATAGGGCAAGACCTAACTACGTAAAGGGCATGAACTTGTAGATATAATAGGGCAAGACCTAACTAGTCTAAGGGCATGAACTTGTAGACATAATAGGGCAAGACCTAAAGAAGGCATGAACTTGTAGACATAATAGGGCAAGACCTAAGTACGTGAAGGGCATGAACTGTAGATATAATAGGGCAAATGAACATATGAAGGGAACTTGTAGATATAATAGGGCAAGACCTAACTACGTGAAGGGCATGAACTTGTAGACATAATAGGGCAAGACCTAACTACGTGAAGGACATGAACTTGTAGATATAATAGGGCAAGACCTAACTACGTGAAGGGCATGAACTTGTAGACATAATAGGGCAAGACCTAACTACGTGAAGGACATGAACTTGTAGACATAATAGGGCAAGACCTAACTACGTGAAGGACATGAACTTGTAGACATAATAGGGCAAGACCTAACTAGTTGAAGGACATGAACTTGTAGACATAATAGGGCAAGACCTAACTAGTTGAAGGACACGATCCCACAGCGAGTGAAGGGGAAAGAAGACCTACCCTGTTGAAAGGCTTGATCTTGGAGTGCATGATGAAGTTGAACTTGCACAGCTCGCAGGACTTGGTGTCGGAGGACTTGATCCACTGTTGGAGGCATGACTGATGGACGTAACGCAGGGAGCCGGAGCAGTAACACGGAGCGATGAGCGGCGAGTCCTGTTCCCCTTCGCAGTGGCAGATCCTGGACCACGGGAGGCAGCGTTAGTGATGATAGTAACAATAATAATAATAACAACTGTGAATATATCTACTGTCTGACAGAATCATTGTAAAAAAATATAGAACTGGTCACCCACATGATAGCTCCAAACATTGCCAAAGGCTATATAATATGAGACATTACCCTGGGAGTGGGGAGTGACATGAACCTGGGAATTACACCAGCCTTAAAACACTCCACAGAGCTGTTGTTTATGACCGACGAAGATCGCACGTCACTCTCAACCATATGGTGAAAAAATCACTTTAAGTTATAAACGGTCTTGTGGTCCGATGGTTTTCTAAAGGAAGGATTCTGAGGTTAGATTAGGTTAGGTGTGATTTATTTAACATTTAACCATCAAAATAGGGTATGGTAAGATAGTTGGCTGTGTGCGTGCGTGGGAGAGTGCGTGTGTGTATGCGTACGTGTGTGTATGCGTGCGTGTCTGTCTGCGTGTGTGGGCGTGTGTGTCTATGGGCGGGATCCACCAAGATTTACCTGTACACCACCACCACCAACAACACACTCACAAAACAAGAGACTAAACGTAGAACAATAAGACATAACAGCCAATGGATAAACCCAAACATAATTATAGACATACACTCACAAGTATCTATGAGGAGTAATAAATATAGTCCGCTCGCTGTTGTACTGACTCCTGAAGTACAGTAGAATAGTAATTAGTAAACAATGTATGTAAACAAGTAAGAATTAAGTATATACAGTATATTAAAACCTGAAGTTACTCTCAAGATATTAAATTAGATTACACCTTGACCTCCAAGTTTATTTACCCGAGAGATGTTTGAACTCAGTTGCTCTTTCCATTGTTGAGTTTAACTGCAACTAAACATTCAATCAGTTAGTTTAAATGCTTACAGTCCTCACCGAAAAACAATACTTAACTCAAATAATTTTAAACTAACAATGAGAAAAATAAAAGACAAGGAAACTGTTTTTTGTTTTTTAGCCTTTCTGAAAATACCCCAAGACAAAAACCTGTATTATATATAAGAGAGATATATAACAAGAGAGGCGTGACTGGTGACCAAGGACACTAACACCTAACTGGCAACTCGCATGACCCACCCAAATTAGCCTCCCCCACCCCCCCCAGGTAGTGTGTGTGTGTGTGTTAAAGGTGATGTTTATTATCTGTGTTCTTCAATCATGGCCTCTGAGTAGCTTGGGGTCTTAAGTCTTGCTCCTGATTGGCTATGTGTTGTTCATTCATGTTCTAGAATGATTTGTGTTCTTCGGGTTGTGTTTCCGATTGACCACCTCTCCTCCAATCATATTCAGAGTAGCTATCTCTCCTCCAATCATATTCAGAGTAGCTATCTCTCCTCCAATCACATTCCAGAGTAGTTACCTATCCCCTAATCACATTCCAGATAAGTACGTGGCCTCAACACACAATGACCACAACAAAACCAGTAATATCATCGTGTGTGTGTGTGTGTGTGTGTGTGTGTGTGTGTGTGTGTGTGTGTGTGTGTGTGCTGGTCTAATCACAATTTTTCATGGCCATCACGACAAGTATAAATAAGGTTAAACACACAGTAAGGTCAGAGGTGCACGAACCAAACCTCTGATTAGCATAAAACCAGTGAGACAGACAGACAGAACACTGACTATGAATAAGGACACGAGTTGTGTGAGGGCGAGGTAGTCGAGATATTTCTCCGTCAGTATGCTAGTGAGTCAGTTAAGTATATTTGATATGTTAGCATTAGTCACGAATAAGTGACAGGTCAGTTAAAGATTATTCTTACACATATACAAGTTAGAGATATGAAACATGGCTAACATTATGGGAGATATGATACCCCGAGACAAGAGAGGTCACAAGGATTGGGGCCACGCCGGCACTCATACCTTGACCCTGATCGTTGACCTAATTATGTCAAGAACGAACCTAGTCGATAATATGTAAACAACAACAACAACATCACACACACACGCACACACACATTACTATTACTACTTTGCTGTCACTCGGAATCGAGTATGACGATCATCCAGTTATGATACAATGATATGAGTTATTAAGGATATCACCTAGGTTGGTGAGTTTTGAGGTGACTAAAGAGGCCGATACGAGACCGGCAGAGCCGTCCACAGATGTTGCATAGATGATGATGATAAGTATGATGAGCTGGATGATGGCTGCGCGTGAGTTGATTTGTGGTGAGGCAGGAGCGTAGACTACAACCACACATCTTGTCTCTCCCTTTTCCTGATCCAGTGGTGCAAGTGTTGCAACGACTGGGGAGAGGGAGAGTTGCAATGGACTCCCGATAGCCCAGTTTGTTGGGTTTCGCCATAGTAGCCTGTCCATTTTGCACTGCCTTCATCCGCCAGTGTAGTCGTTGGGTTTCCGTGTTGGTCACCTTTTCTGCCCATTCCGCCGTTTAACACACACACACACACACACACGTCACTGAAGTTATCAAATCCTCCAGTTTCCGTCTCCACCTCCTCCGCCGACTCAAGTCCCTCGGAGTTCCTGCGCCCAAGCTCCTCAGTGTTTACTCAACATTCATTCTTCCCAAGCTCACCTATGCCTCCCCCACCTGGTCTTCCTCCCTAAATGTCACACAACGTAAACACATAGAAAAAGTACAAAAGAGGGCACGCAAGATTATTCTCTCCCCTTCCTACTCCACATATCAAGAAGCGCTCAACACACTGACCCTCTCGGCTCTCTCTGATCATCACCACGACCTTATTTGGCGAGAAGCTTCTGCACCTTCCTCGACATCGGGAGTGGTGACAACGTCGGGGGTTGTGACTTCATCGGGGGTGGTGACAACATCGGGGGGTGACAACATCGAAGTGGTGACAACATCAGATGGTGACAACATCGGGGGTGGTGACAGCTTATCCGAGAATTAAGTGAGCCAACATCTGGAATTAGTGGCAATCGGGGTGGTGACAACATCGGGGGTGGTGAGCAACATGGGGTTGATGAGAACTTCACATAGGTGGTGACCAACATCGAAGTGGTGACAACATCAGAGGTGATGAGAACTTCATAAGGTGGTGACAACATCAGAATTGGTGACAACATTGTAATTAATAGTGTAGATAGTGTACCATGTGTAGTGTAGATAGTGTGTGCCATGTGTAGTGTAGATAGTGTGCCATGTGTAGTGTAGATAGTGTACCATGTGTGGTGTAGATAGTGTACCATGTGTAGTGTAGATAGAATGTACCATGTGTAGTGTAGATAGTGTACCATGTGTAGTGTAGATAGTGTACCATGTGTAGTGTAGATAGTGTACCATGTGTAGTGTAGATAGTGTACCATGTGTAGTGTAGATAGTGTACCATGTGTAGTGTAGATAGTTTACCATGTGTAGTGTAGATAGTGTACCATGTGTAGTGTAGATAGTGTACCATGTGTAGTGTAGATAGTGTACCATGTGTAGTGTAGATAGTGTACCATGTGTAGTGTAGATAGAGTACCATGTGTAGTGTAGATAGTGTACCATGTGTAGTGTAGATAGTGTACCATGTGTAGTGTAGATAGTGTACCATGTGTAGTGTAGATATATTACATATGACTCGGCTATACTACAGTATCAAGTAACAAATAAGTCTTGTCTCTACACATCTGGTTTTCTCGTTGAATGTTAAACTTTAGGGAATTTAAATTTAAACCTGCCAACGGCTCTTAAGTACTGCCCTTCCTCCTGTTACAACCTATATATTTGCTGCATGCAAAAAAAAAGGAAAAAAAGCTATTTTTTGTTTTTCATCCTTTGGAAATCGATAAAAATATCAAACTTTTATCATGCAGTCTGCAATTTGATCTGCATCCAGATATGGAGCATTTATCAGACATTGTGATAGACCTTCACACCACGACGGCCAGCTGGTAACTGAGGTCCCACCCCAGCCCCCCCCACCCCCACCCACTCCCCCAGGCCGCCGACCAGATGACGTCATCAGCTGCGAAGGATGAATTTTTTACTCGAAGTGAGTTGACTTGGTATAATTAGACTTTGATAGAACCTTTTAGGGACAGGCACAAGCACACCGTGTGTGAAACGGCACAACACTTTTTTCTCTAATAGCAAGATAGCTGACATAATAAGATTGTATCCACTTTTTGCACTCAGTATCTATATCGTTTCCCATGTATGGAACCAAACACACAATGTGCTTGAATACCTCTCACGCAAATGTGAATAACAAAATGTGCGGCCAGATATATTTCCTCATGTATTAGCCCCTGCCTCATGACAGTAGCAATTGTATAAATCTGGGTGAATACATTTATATTATATAATCCAATCACCCGACTGTAATTTTCCATAAGCTGTGAGGTACCATGTGCCGTTCACGTGAGGGGAAATTCCTCAACCAGAACGCCGACCTTGAGAATGTAGGGTCAGCTGTGCCTCACTCCCTCAGAGCCTCCCCTCACGGCACCAGTCTTCACTTGAGCCTCACGAGAATCGGACGGGTGATCTAAACTCAGTCAAGCTGAGTCCCATCCTTAACTACACTCACAGCTTACAGTGTTAATTACGGTGAATGTACCAATAGACTATGACCAATATATTTTACAAATAAATGGAGAAAAGACCATTTGGGGTTTTGCACCTTAACCCCTCAACTTATTTATATAAGCGAAGTTAAGGGAACTCTAACCCAAAGCTTATACCCACACTGCTATACTCACGCGATTGTTAATAAGTTACCATCTATGTACAGAACTAAATAAAGAATTTATGTGAAATACTCTGTAAAATTCAATGCCATAATATCCTGATCACGAGGATTAGTTATACAGACCCTTTGTGAACTCTTCTCTGTAATCCTTTTGTGCTACCGCTCACAGGATGAGTATTGGGTGCACAATAAACTAGCCGTTGTTAGTGGCAAAATTAAAACAAAATATCCTTACTACCCCCCAATCGTCCCCCACCACCCCTGACCCTCCTCACTATTCTTCACCTCCCCAC